AAAACTGGTTCATGTTTTTTGTTTTCGAGACGGGGGGAATTTGCTCTTCATGTGCGAGACAGTCCACAGAAGTGCCGCTGGCCGGCTGGGGATCGATAGTATACCGGGGGTAGTACCGATCGGAAACAAGCTAGTTTTTCATTTCAAACTTTGAATGAAACTGTTTTAATTTGTTTTTAAAATCTTTCCAGTCTCTAGATGATATTCAACTTTTTTTTTTACTTTTTCGCAACTTCACAAACCAAGTTGCGATGGTACCCCTGTCTATTAGCCCTAAAGATTGCGTACTCGGTAATCTGAACGTAACATATGGCCACTTTCCTGTTAGCGATTCGCAAGTAGCTATTGTCTTTTTGCTGAGACAGTCTGATGGAAATGTTGGTGGTCGTTATACAAAGGTTAAAGTGTGAATAGGTCTACAATAGGGTGGTCGCTGGTCGCGTTGGACAGGTGGTCGCTATATCCAGTGTCTTTAACGTGTAAATTGCGAAGGGACTGTACTAAGGTGGTCGCTATGAGCAGGTGGCCGCTCTGCACAGGTGGTCGTTAACACAGGTTTGACTGTATATGCGTCATACATATGCACATACATTTGTTTGGTAACCTGATTCAAGATGGCTGAATGGTGGCCATTTTTATGTTAAAAATTCATCAAAATTAATGCAATTTCAGATCTGTATCACAGTCATACGTGAACAGATTTTGTTCTTGATATGTAGATTGAACATTATGAGACCTTGGTGCTTAAACTTGATAACTCACAGGACTATGTAAGAAAATTATCGGTACCTGTTTTTCACAAGTTAGTTATATATTTTTTTTAAAGCATAATGACCATTATTTTCTAGGATTCCATGTTATTACGAAGCAAAGATTTTGTTCATATTCTGGCTCTTGTCACCATGGACGAAAGGCGCCAGCTATCTTTACAGAAAGTTCATCCATCCCACTCTGAGTAAAAGGGAAAAGGTGAGAAAACAGATATGTCTTTTTTCAAAAATGTTTTACTTCTACCTTTACTTGGCATAATGTGATTTAGGAAGATGACTAACAACAGTGTTTTCTGTGTAAATTGGTTATAAATGTGTTTTTTTATTATTATTGACAGGAAATTGATGAATATATTGCTACCGCCAGTGACAAAGGATATGAAACCCTTAAACGAGTCAGTAAAAACGGTCTCACAATAGCCGCCAATGCATTTATGACCTCCGCTATCAAGGTGAGCACATCTGTCCATGGTTACTACTACTCTCAACGAGTCATTGTATCTTCCGCTCATGAGCAGAACAGGTTGTGTGTAGCCACAAATAGAACACTGTTTTATTGTACATGAATCATTACACCAGGTTGTCCCCATTCAGTATAACATTGTTTGGGTATCCGTATGTCATTCTTGTCATAGTATTTTTTTCTGCAACACTTAAAAATATATTACTGTAAAATCTGTATTAGAAGCCACATCTTTAATTGAAGTTGCACCCATTCTTTTTGAATAATTGAGAACCAAAAGTTCATCATTTCTCGTATGTGTATATGCTTTAATAGAAGCCACATCCCCTCTGTTGCATTGTACCATTGCAATAGAAGCCACGGTTTCTAATACAGATTTTACAGTACTACAAGTCCTGTATTTGTAGGTTATTATTTGAATTGTTTTTTAAGCCATGCAAGCTGTTTGAATGGTTTCATTAAAGCATAGGAGAGGCATGTTAATTGGTGTTGAATGCTAACATATTTGAATAAAAGCACATCACATTACAGCATTTTTGCTGTAACCATCAGGTGCTAGCCATGATTATCATGCTTTTCA